CCACCTTGGAAACGGGGCTACCCAAAAGGGAAATGCCTCTCCTACACTTATTTCGAACCGGACCCTGTGTCTCCCAAAGTGGAGAGAAGAGAAGAAGCTCTCTCCTAATTCGGAAAGCTAGACAGGTCCTCCCCACCCGTTAGCCATGTAGGAAGTAACTTAGCTGGAGTGAATATCGCTAAAATGTTTCTCCTTGGTCGTTATATGCCCTCCCAATTGAAGACCTCGGAAAAGGGGAAATCCGCAGCTGTGTGATGACAGGGAAGGGACAGTCAAAATGGGGGACTCGTCAGACAGGGGTTCCTCTAGTGATTCACAGTGGAGCGACTCCCTGACGGGGGAATCGTTAACGGAGGACTCCTTTACAGGGGACTCCTTAGCGGGCGCGGCCCTTGCTGATGATGGCTACCCTTCCACGCGGAAATCGGTGCGCATCAGAAAAGGCGAAGCATCAGGGACGCCCATGTCATGGACGACATCGCGACTTGTTTTCAACTTGGAAGGCGACTTTTCAACGTCGAGACAGAATGCCGAAAAGAGCATTTTCAAATACGTGTGGATGGGCCAAGATCATATGGCGGAAGAATCGACTGAGGAGGGAGAGGAAGAAGGACAGTACAGGTACGTGTACCAGACGAGGTTCAGCAGAGACAGTGTGCTAAGAGCAAACATTGATGAGTATTCGATAAGAAGGACTATTCTTCCCGTGCGAGAAGGGCGAGGTGGGAAAAAGAATCCAATAGGGGATAACGCCAAGAATGGGATGAAGATGTACGGAGGCAAATTCAAACGTGAGATGAATCCCCGAATGGGTAGAACCCCACAGGGGGGTAGAGGAGAGGCGGAAGAAGGATGCGGTAACATCCTCCTGGAAAGCGCCTGGAAGGGGATCAAACTGGAGGAAGCGGCTCCATTTGGTAGTGCCCCATTTGGTAGCGTCCCATTCGGCGGGGGCCCCTTCTGCAGTGACCCTTACCTGTGCTACCCCCTGCAGCTGTGCAGCAGGGACGTAAAACAGCGCAGAAGCATCGCCAAGGAGCCCTACAGAGTATTGAGCGCCCCGAATTTGGTAGACGACTTCTATCTTAACTTAGTGCACTGGTCAAGACAAAACGTAATCGCCGTGGGGTTGCACGACAAGTTGTGCGTGTGGAATGAAAGCACCTCTAGAGGAGAAGAAGTATTTAC